TTCATCACAAGGAATGATGTTTGAGGTGACACACATGCTAATTAGGCTGATGTGATCTTGACATTATGTGTGCATACATGGAAAACTCACATTGTATCCCATGAATTTTTGTCATGATATAGCTGTTTAAAAAAACACATGGACACTAAAATTAACTCGACACATGCCGAGTATCCTCTGGCTTTCTTTTTCCCATTTTCTTCACTGGTGACAGAAAGAGGAGTAATTGGTTCCTGGAAGCAGAATACGTAATACTGAATACTAGGGAGGCGGGGCTTGAGGAACTCCCTTCAAACTATCGGGGGAGGGGTAGGGTGAGCTTCTTACAGTCTGGTGGTGTTTAAGGTGGTGTTTAAATGTAGCTTGCTAAACCTCATGTCTCCTCCAGGGCTCTGGAAACTATTGCATAGATGTGTCCTGAGATTGACTTATTTCAATGCTGTTTCTACCTCTTGTTATGTTCTTCCAAATGCCATTAGTTCACTGGAGTGACTTCTGTTCAATTGGCAATGTCAATTCTCTGCCTCCACAAGCCAAAGACCACCAAGGATGAGCTGGGTTTTGTTTCTTATCTGACAAGACTCAAAATTACTCTAAACTGATTTTGGTGTCTTCTTTTCATCTAATCATATTGGACTTCTCCTCTCAACTTCTCCTCAAGCTGAATGGTCATCTGTGATATATGAATACAACAAGAAATACAACAAGAAAAAGCCATGCATGACTTAGAACTACTGCAGTAGTTTGCTGAAGGCTCTATGGAGTTGTGCAGGTAAACTACCAGTTGATGAATGGTGGTATAAGGGATCTCAGGTTGTGCCTGAGCTAACACTAGTTCCTAGTACAAATCCAAAGGCCTGCTTTTCTTCCCCCACTTGATTAATTTGCTTACACCAGCATTACTGATGGACTATCACCAGAATCACATCAGGCAGGTCTAGGCAGGTCCAAATCAATAGGGTCTTTCATTGTCACTATATCACAATTTTAATTGTTCCTTTCTATTACACTTAGCAATGAGACACTAGGCAAGACTTGACTCAAGAATAAACTTCCAAAAAGAGAGAATGTCCACTTCAAAAAGTGATACTAGAAAGAGCAAAACTGATTAGGACCTATTTCTATATTGATGTGTGTATGTTGTGAGACATGCTCTTTTTTTTTTTTTCTGTACTAGAACCGAGACTTGGGAAGATATCAGATGCACAGCATCTTGGTGTATTTGAAGAGAGCTGACACCCTGACAAGACCATCTAAAGCAGAAATAAGATCTATAGAATCAAAAAATGATGCTGTGATTCTAGACTTTAATACTGAGCACCAATGCTAGATTTTAGTGTTGAGCCTATTCTAGATATGAATATCAAACACCCAGTCTAGAGTTAAATACGAAACAATTCAGCATATGCATCTGCTGTGGTCACTATTCATCCTAAAATGTTTATAGACTGTGTGTAAGTGGGTGGTACTTGTGTGTGTGTGGGGGGGTGCAAATGAGTGAGACAGGGTCTCTCATTAAATCTGAAGATAATCAATTTGGCTAAGCTGAATAACAAATGAGATTCAGAATCTGCTCGTTTTCATCCTTCACCGACCCAGCAAGTGCTGGAGTTACAAGCATGAACTATCATTCCTGGCTTTTACATGGGTTCTAGGGCTCCAAACTGAGATTCTTGTGCTTGCATAAAAGGTCTGACTGAGCTTTCTCCTCAGGCTCAAATGGCTTTAAAACACAAATCTTTTTAAAATTAGTCCTTCCTCTCTGAAGGATTTTGTATCAATGGCTTGGCCTCCCATCTTGTGAGTACCACAGAAGACAAATGGCCTCCAAGCACCAGCCTTAACAAGGAGTGGTCATGGGCCACACCTCCAAGGAGAGATGTGTCAAGCAGCAGTTAGAAGAGAGGTCTTTAAAACCCTGTGAACACTTTTAATACATTACCACCTCTGGGAACCAGCTATTTCCCTTCCCACTTCAGAAAACATGTAATGGGGCTTTGTGTTTCAATTTAAAGTCCCTTACAAAACGGAAATCCTTTCCTTTATAAGTTAAAAAAATAGCACAGAGGGAAAGACAAGGCAAGAGAGGAAAGAATTAGGCAGTCTATGAAGCACTATTGGCTCAACTGGAAACCAGCGACCAAAGAATGCCCCGTAATAGTGTAATGACCTCTAATGAGTGTCTTGGGAAACAATACAGCCCTGGCATAAAAGACAAAGGGCAAAACCCATCATGGTTCTGCTGACACTAATTCAAAATGATCTTCAGAACAACTAAAGAATGTAAGAGAAGTAATCTGACCTGCTCATCTGACCTCACTTTGATTCCAGGGCCCTTCTCCTGCCATTTCTAATTGTCAACCCCTCTCCGTTTCATGTCTGCTCATATTTAAGGAAAAGCCCACTCTCACCACTTCTCTTAAGAGTCAGTTCACTCTGTCAAATGGGCACCACCCAAACCACCACCTATGTGGGGTGCCTGGAGATTCCTGTGGCACACTGCCAGGGGGATTCAGCAGAGACTGAAGGCTTCTTTTCTCTCTCTCTTTTAATTGGAGAAGAATGGCTGGCATGGGTCTCTAAAGGAGTTCAGCTTGGAATGGATTTCTCTAACTTATTATTAGTGGTCAAAGGTGAGCGGTCTCACACAGGGATGGATGAAACCTGCCTTTGTGTGATGAAGGGAAGATGGTGAAACAGAGAAGGCAAGCCACCACCAGAGCTGTCAATACCATTTAAGGCCTGAATCTTGTTGTCTTGCAGTGGGGGTTGTCCATGGAGGCAAGAAGGATGACAATATTACGAACAGGCTATTTCTGAGGGGATGGGACATTCTTACCCCAAGATTTTCTTTCCCTGGCCTCCATCAATGCCCGGATTAAATTGCAATCTGAGAAATCCCTCCAATTATGGTCTTTCTTGAATAAAATGGAAATGGCACACACTGGACACCATGAGCCTCACACATGGGGACATAGATTTTTACTGTGACTGGAGCAGATTGTCAGTGAGCCAAGACATGACCACAGGACACTAGCACAGAGCCAAACTGGATCCTTATTTTTTCCACCAAATCCTTGGCCAAGGTTTTGGAGTGTGGTGGTTACTTGAGAAAAGAAAAAAGTGTGCCTTAGGCTCAAGAGGGTTGGCAGCTACATCCACCACTGCCAGTAAAAGGGATCTGGTCCAATGGTTCCACCATTGCTTACCCCATTGTCTTCCTAACCAGCTCCTCTTTGAACCTGATGTCTTGCTGTACATCACAGACAAATTCTTTGTGTAGTTTAGTTGTGACTTGCATTACCTAGGCTACATAGCATATGAGCAGGAGAAAATTCCTTGCAGGCAAAACAAAGGGATAAGGACTTGTACTGAGCATCCATAAGAACAAATTAAGAACAAAGCAAAATGAAATAAATCAAAAGTCCTTTCTAAAATTTTAGGCCAAGGTGCTTGGCACAGTCTATAATGCCTCTCAATACAATCCCATTGAGTATCACTTTTAAGTCAACCTGTCCCTTAGCACTTCTCAGGGAGCAGTGAATGGTCAATCAGAGGGGATGGCTCACTGGTCTCAGACCAGGCTTCTAAATGTCTCCAATACAGAGCTCCACACACAGCTTACAGACTTCAAAAGTGAACCACAGCTTTGAATGCTAGCACCTGGCATGGCTTATCACTCTCTCTATACAGTGAAGTTGGGGGTCTTGCACTGGATAGCCACAAATGCACTGTGTTGGGACTACCTTAAACATAACAGTGATGTGTTGGCATGTGCATCTGTCATGGGAAAAAATGCTCAAAAAGTAAATGTCCTTCTTCCTCCCTGTGGTGGGTATGAACCACCACAAGGATAGGAAAAGTTCAGCCCCCTTTGATTATTTGGGGGAAGAGTGGGTAGGTAAGCTACCAATGTAGCACCAAGTACTATGTTGAGTTCTTTAAAGAAAAATGGATGAAGCACAGAGAGAATCATCATTTCCCACTTTTTACACTACCACCCATAGGAATTCAGGGCCATGGTCAGATTTCAAGAGCATAAAGTCCTCATGCAGAAGCTCTTCTGCCAGTGGTAAAGGATGCACATCCCTAACATCTCAAACCAACACATTGTGTAACATCACCTACCAACTGTGCCAGCTAAATGAAAACAGAGATTAGGGTGATCTCAGGAATTTGGTTCATCAGACTCAGCCACTGTCACTTGTATGAAGGTTACAGCTTCTTTCACAGGGATGAGCTTGGTAATGACAAAGGTCTGAGCTTCAAAGTGAAAGAAATCCTAGAGATTCAGGATTTAAATTGTTCTTATTTAGATTCATGACAGCTATGCAATACTCTGGTTAAGTGAGACTAAATTGTTGGGAAAATATAAGATGTTAATGAGTGTCTTGGGAGCTTCCTTTGAGTAACCCAACTTTTTGAAAGGAAGTACTAGAAACTGCCATTGTATGGAGGGTGGCAGATTCAAAAATATTTTCTTCAAGAACTGAGGACAACATCTGGAAAGAAATACACAGGACAAAATTGTGTGTTTGGGCATGTGTATATGTAAACATCTGCATCTAGATGGTATTGTTGTATTGTTGTTGTTTTTGAAATGCTAGCAAGCTTTTTCTTCCTGTTCCTTTTTCTCCATCCTTTTGATCTATCTTCCACTTAGTAGTCTAAGGTCCACATTTTCACATGCCTTCTATTAAAATAGTACTTACTATCCTGTCACCTTACTTTCCATTTTCACTTATTTAGACAATAGAGAGGAAGGCTATCAGCAGGCTGTCACATGGCAGGTCTCATTCACTATCACAAGAAGCACAAAAAAGGTCAAAAGGGAAAGCCTTCTCATCATATACACAGAGACACAGGCAACATGTCATCACATACAAGACCACATTACGAAGGCAGCACTAGCTCAGTGAACTCACAGGACCACAGGGCAAAACACAAGACAGGGCTGATGAGTACAGACAGGGAACTGCATGTGTTGAGGTTAAACTTACAGGCACGGAAACTGGCGGAGCAATCATTAACAGAGACAGAAGAAAGCGGGAAGGCTCTCTCAAGGGTGTCCACGTTACCACGCACACGGTCTGACATGCACGAGCAGTCACGCTCAGAACGTCCGCAATCAAAACAACATGCTCGTCTCATTCTCTTGTAGATGGACATCTTGGCTATAACCATGTGGTTGGATGGGAGGAGAGGAAGAGCGGCAGTTAATGGCAAGGTCACATACAGCAAGGCAGCTGGAAGGGCACTGGAGGATTGAACACAGGTCTTAGTTCATGTTAACAGTCTTGACCCAGAAAAAAAAAATACAGTGACTGTTGGTGACAGTTTGGTTGTACATCAAAAAAGCAGTGAAAATATAAATTGCCTTTATCATCCCCCAAGGTTGTTGCATATTATTTTTGTCCCCTCGATGGAGCGGTGACCACAGGAAGAAGGCATGGCTGAACACATCCCGATTCTTGGATTAAAAAAAAAAAAAAAAGAGTAAATTATAGACAACAAAAATGTAACCACCATTCTCCCCCTGGCACAATTAATGCAAGAGGGCAAAGGAGACACACAGCCAATCAGCTAAATGAATTGCTGATTTGGTACAATAAATGGTTTTTGCAGAATGCAAATACATCTAATATGTAGGCTTTCTCATTTTCATCCATTTCTGGGCATTAAGCAGAGCCTGGGACAAACTTCCATCAAATTAAATATGAAACGATTATGTGTTAATATCAGATCTGAGGATGCTTTTGCTGAACTTCCCGGGAGTGAGTTTACATGATAGCTACAGGAATTTAAATTTACTCTTGACAGAACAAATAACCAAATCTGTCCATATAAGAAATGCCGCTACTCAAGGCTAACGCTGCATATTTGACATTAAAGGAAGTTCACAAATAAAAAAAAAAAATCACCCAAAGCAATATGAGATGTTGGTCTCTGGAATGCTTTTAGCTACTCATGGGTGTATTTGTTGTGAGTGCTGCCTTTTTCTCCCTGCCCACCAGAAAAACAGAAGACAATTAGGTGACTTAATCATATTTTTTCCTTATGTAGAAAATATTGCCCCAAATATATTAAAAACAACAAAACATGAAATATTTGCCTTATGAACTATCTTACTGTCATTTTCAGAGACCCTCAATAGTTCTTTTAAGGCTAGCATAGTGTGAAGGTTCAGTATTGACCCACGAGTCATCTGTAAATCCGGACCTGCAATGTTTGTTAATATCCTCATCGTTTCCAATGCCTTTCAATTTTACCCTTCTGGCTAATTTATATTTCAGTACAAGGGAAGTCTTTTGTACTTCATTTTGATGCTACAACAGGTAAACATGTTTGTTTATCAGTTATGCCCCTCTCACAGCATAGAAGTATTCATATCTTCCAAGCATCAAACACTGAACTTGGACTGGGGAGGTGTTACCTCCACACCCACCCCTTCCATGGGGGAAGTCACATTCTCCCCATTTATTTTCCTCTGTAGAGGATGTTTGCCCTCCTACTTTAAAATATAGCTTTTGGTTTTGCCCTCTTTGAATGTTACAGTCACCAGGAATGGGTGTAAATCTCTCAAATGGGTCAAGCCCTGTACTAAGACCTTCATGACTTGCCATACAGTGGGCTTGTCAAGCAAGGGGAACGTTATGACTGTGAAGAACAGGCACTGGGGAGGATGAATGAGAGACCTCCAGAAGCATCTCCATCCCTGTGAATAGGGTCACATTCCCAGTGCCATGGTCCTGAAGAATCCTAAGGCTGCTGTTTCAATTAACATGCAATCCCAGCCCTGTTGAACTCTCTCTTTTGAGTTTAGCTTTTCTCAAAAATTAAAAATAAGAATCTGCTACAGCATTTGAGTCAGAGGAAGTCATAAGTCATGCTGCCAGTGTCCAGGCCACCCTGATCAAGAGCGGTGGCTGAAGTCAAGAAAGGGAGAAAAGAAAGTCTTCTGTGGAATACATGAAAATAAATTTAGCTGAACTGTATCCAGATCTGGTATACCACTTGGTAAATGAGTTTCCTGGTTTGTCTATCTTAACGCTTTAACTGGACATATGAACTTGTTATTTGCAAAGAAGAGAACAATGGTGTGATTTCTTTTTGGTTTTTTGTTTGTTGTTTCACTGTAGATAAATTATTTTGAAAGTTGTTTTTTTTTTCTTTTTTCTTTTTAAATCAAATACTGTAGCAGAGAATCCCATCAAACTCAGAAATGCTATGTTTCTCATTAGCAACAGTCCCTGGTTTTCATTTTCATACTGCCATTTCGGGTTCATGCATGGTAATAGAATATGACACATTTATGGGGAAAGAAAGTTCATATATATATATATATATATATATATATATATGTGTGTGTGTGTGTGTGTGTGTGTGTGTGTGTGTGTGTGTGATGGGAATAGGTAACTTTTGAATCTTTTTTCCCACAGAGGTCATCCTATCACAATGGACAGTGAAGACCTCCCCATTTCTGAAGGTTTCAGGAGGGAGAATAACATCAAACCAGTGACTCTCAGGGACTGTTTGCAACTGTCATGGTTGGCTGTTCTGGAGACCATGCATTGTGTTAAATTTTGTGTTGTTAGCATGCAGTAACAGGCTGCAACTGGTAACCGAAGCAGCAGAAACCCATTTGCTATAAGAAGATTAACTGTTAATTATAAGCAGTCACATTCCAAAGCAGCATATGCATAGAACAGAAAACATGCTATTACTCCTCACTCCTTTCCAGTCATTTTACATTCACACCAAATGCAAAAGAGAAATCTCAAAAGACAAAGAGCACACACACGTGTGCGTCCACACACACAAACACATACATACATACACCAAGAATGGTCAACATGAGGCTCAGAGACAAGACACAAACAGTTAAAAATGATTGAGCCCCACATATTGACAAACTTTCATGAACCACAATGTCTAGAGTAAAGATGACTAATTAAGAGTATTCCTCCTTCCCCACTACCCCAGTCAAATGTGTTGCCACCTGTGTACTTTCTAGGTCCACTTTCTAAGAAGGGAAGAGTGATTTGGACCTTGAATCTAATGGAGTGATCCTTCAGGCACAAGTTTCTCATCTACTCCTGATCCTAAAAACATGTGTCCTCTCCATTGGTGTGCGCTGAGTTCCTTTCTTAGTAGCCATCCAGGGCTTTTCCTAGTCACCAGAGGAAAGGTTTTACATAGATTGTGAAGGCAAAGCAAAGTAGGTCTATGAGGACATCTAGTGGATGGCTGTAGGAGAGCAGCTTGTTCATGGTGTGAAGCAGAACTTGTTGGTTCATCTCTCCTCAAAGGAGAGTCTCTAAGAATTGCAACGTGTGTGGTACCACTTCAATTCAGTGGCTGTCTCCAATCTGTGGATGTTTAGGGGCAGTGAGGACAAATAGTTGAAAGGTCCAAGGAGAGGATCCTGGGGGCAGTCAATAGTGGTAACTTGCAAGCACATTGTTTTCATACTGCACTGGCCAACAGATTCTCCACACAGCATTGCTGCAGCTTCCCAAAGGGACTAGACAAGAGTGTGTCTCTGCAGGTACAGATGCTGCAGCTACTTGTCACTTTGTCTTAGGGCTCTTGGAGCAACTTCATGCTCTGTGATTTGCCCCCATAGGCCAACTTAACTCTGGGAAAGAAGAAATATAAGTCCCCTGGAACTTCATTTTCTCTTTTGCCCACAAAATGTTCTTGTTCTTGGACCAGCACTAATGATTTGAAGAGGTCATATCAGTGCCAAGAATCTTATTTTGGGTCTCACCTTCCTCTAAAAAAATTATGTTTGAATAGTTTCATCATTTCAGAAGAAAGCTTTTATGTGCTTCTCTTCATCACAATAAAATGGATATTCATCCAATATTTCCATTATGACTTCCTAGTAGTATTTATAGAGACAAAATAGAAATACTTCACTAATGGACATCATCAAAGCTATCTGTTTACTCTTTGTTTAAAATGGAAAGCTTTCTCAGACACACACTTGCACAACTTTTCCTCTATTTTCAAAGGTCGTGATGGTGAGAAATTAAACCTGCTTCAGATGTAGCATGCTCACTTCTCTTTCCTTGGGACACACTTAATAGGATCAAGTGGCAGGCCTCAGGTCCTCTGCTGGTTGGCCCTTCTGAGCCAGGTCTGGAATGGAAGGAAGGGTTGCAGCCCATTCTGTCTGAAGGACCATCTGCCTCCGGCATCAGCAACCAAATGGCCAGCCAGGTTGCAATTGCAGAATCTTAATTTTGGGGGTGGATTGGAAGGGAGAGGGAAAGCAACATTGCCCAGGAGGCCCAGGTGGAGGTTTCCAGCTGCTGGAGGGAAAATAATTTAGGTTTCCAAAGGAGCAAATGTAAGAGGAGAATAGTGTGAAAGAAAAACAAATGCCATTAAATTTAGGCACACTTCTCAGATCATAGCCTTACTTTTCAAATCAGCCCAAGTAAGGGAAGCATTGTTAGCATGAATTTACAGCTAGTCTTCAAGGGCTTGGTAGCAACTGAAATTATAAGCAAACCCTCTTCAGAACAAAAACCACTGAGGTTTTTGTTTGAGGTATATTGATGGATGTAATGCTAGGAAGCAGAGGTTCTTTCACATCCTATAAACAAAAAAAAATTGATGTCTTCACTTAACACAGTTGCTCCTGATACCTTCTGGAGAAGAAGCATGGTCTTACATGTAGCTTTCCATGATTAGGAAGAAGAGAAGGACAAAGGTGAAAGTCAGCAACCTGGAGCACACACCCAGCTAGTTGATCTGATTCACGCCAATTGCTCTGGAGCTGGAAAAGGTGGGGGGACTTTGCCACTGGAGCTGTTTGTTGATTGGTATTGTGTAGCCCTCTATTTCTCAAAGAGTGCTAGAGTATGAAAGTCTGGGGGTATAGAAGTGATGCTCCCACAAAAATTGCACAGTGCCCATTTGGGCAGAACTATGAGTTGCATTGAAGAAGATCATTGTTTCGTTTTGACATAACACAGAACATCAGAAGATTGCCACACAATGGAGACTACCAGAACTCAAGTGATCAACTTTCTTCTCCTTCTGCAAAGTAAAAGAAGAGGTCTCGGTGCTGAAACATCTCCACATTCCAGAGCCAATGAACTCAATGTGTTGTAGACTGTGTCTCGTTTCTGCTTCCATACAGTCTTAGATCTGTAAGCCAAGACCCAATGCTGATGGCTAGTGTCCATGAGAGAACTATAGCTGTAGGTAACACATGGAAATACTGGCCTTAAAAACTACATCTGGTTGGATAAAAAGGATCCTATGCCTTGAGTAATTTAGAGAGGTCTAGAGACTTATATTGACTTGTAAAGACTCCTACATGGCTCTTCATGAAAAGGAGTATTTTTCCCTCAGTTAACCAACATTTTGTTTTCCTGAAATAAGCACGTGGATCCTTCTGGATGCTTAACATTCACAGAAGAACTGTGGAGGAACTACTGGGTGTTGACTAAAGGAGAGGTTGTGCTTAAAAGCAAGGAAACTTCATAGATTGTAGGAAATAATTACCGCTTGTCTTCAGGAAGATAGATACTTACAGTCCCAAAGGAGTACTCAATAAAATCTCCAGCAAACACCTTCTTGTACAGAGAGGCATATAAAATATGATCAATGCATTCCTCTCTCTGTTGAATCTCTTATGATTATATACAAAATACACATTTTTACATATAAACTACTAGTGCATATCATATATATCACAACTCAGGAATATATATGTAGTATGTGATTTTTTCCTTCAAGAGAGGAATTCAAGCTCTATAATAGGGGAAAACAAGTATAGTTTATCAAAGGCAAGCAGGACCATGAATCCCGATGGAGAAAGCATCTAAAGCTAGAGTGGTAATTACACCAGCCTATCTGTGTCCCTTAAAAGTCCTGAGGCAAGGCCTTCAAGAGAAACACACTGTTGTTAAGGTCTTATTTTTGAATAGAAAAATAAGACCATATCCAGAGCTAGCTGGAGGCTGGGGGATGGGTGGATGCATGGAGAGTGGGCTCTGGGCACTCTCCAGCTCCTGGCTACTCTACAAGGACTGTGTTGGGGCATGAGCGAGTTGGGGCATGATGTAACTGCTACATGCAACACGAATACCAAAAGTAAAATGAAATTGTACAGAAAAAAAAAAGTATCTCATCTAGAGAAAGACCATAACTAGACTCTGGGCTGCTGGGAACCCATTTTACTCACAATAGATCACTACCAGGGTGCAGTTAAAATAGAGTAGGGGCCGTATTCCAAGGCAGCAAAGAGGAAACAAGATAAATCAAAGATACGTCAATGATTAGAAATTAAAGAAAATTCCTTCACATACATCAATCTAGAATTGGCTTGTTCCTTAGGAGACTACCCTTGGCAACTTCTCAGAGGCTGGGAAAGAAAGTGTAAATCATTAGACCAGGTTTGTGACACAGAAAAAGGACATGAGTAAATAGTAGTCTGAGAACTTGCTCCTTGGCTAGACATCTGGATTGGACTTGCTTCCTGGATGGATGGGGAGCTATGAAGAGATGGAAAGAAATGCAGGAGTTAAACTATACTACCACCATGGGATCTTCACAAGTGGAATGTCCATATTTCATTCTTCTCTGATAGAGGACATGAAACATTGAAGGTTACTGAATGAAAGGAATGAGGAGGGTAAGGAGTGATTAGGAAGGAGAAATTGGGTTGGGACAATAGGGTTAGGAAATATATACAGTCTGAGGACTGCCATTAGCTTTGTTCTCATGTAGTTGTATTATTTCATAGTGAATTATCAATTGCTGCACTAACAGGTTTGTATAAATAATAGGATAGGTCAACTCTCCTTTCCAATTTTGAACACCAAGAAGTGCCTGGCCATTGGCTTAGCATTGGTCTCTCTTCACTCATATGCTATTAACAACGCTAAGTATTTCTCATGAAGATTTCTTCACAGCCAAATGTATTTTCTCCAATCCCTTTAATGCCTGACCTTCATGAGAAGGTTTGTATTCAATTATTCATTTTATTCTAATCCTCCCATACATATCTGCATCCTGCCCTCCAGGCTATGGCCTTTTAATTGGGAATAACAACATTTGGACAACTATGATTTATTATCAAATATTAATCACATAGCCCATGGCCTTGTCAACTTAAGAGTAGCTTGGCAGAGACAATCCTTTTGCAGCAATTGTGTTGTGTGTGATAGAAGATTATACATTTCACTAGCTTAGCTTGCTATAAGGGAAATGAAGAGAATAAAATGATGTGCTTTTTACAACAGGGTGGAGTTAAAGTCCCTGTTGTTTGCTTTCTTAAAACAAAGATAGAAAAACTACCTTGGAAGTTAAATCTGTATTTCTAAGGAACTTAAAAAGGGTATGCCATAATGGATTATGGCATCCTATGAGAGACATTCTAACTTCAGAGTGAATCAGAGATGTTCTTTCCCCATTTTGCCTTTTCCATCCTGTTTCCCAGAGAATCCTCTATTCAGATGCAAACTGAGACCTGATGATGTCATCTTCTTCCCTGAAATTACTTGGTGGTAGCTTTTGGGCACCATCTCTGTCTTCTTGTGTGATTTCACTCTGTACCTCTCCCAATGCCAATGATCACAGCAGCCTTCCATCCATCTCTTGCTCTTCTCCTCACCCATATCTCACCTCCACTATCACCTCCCAAAGTACCAGTCAAGGTATGAAGTAGTAGCCTTCCTATAAGAGCCATCACATTCTCATATGGTCGTCCCTCTCTTCTTAGCATATAGGTCTCTATGAATTCATATATTTCTTAACATGGGTTTGTCTTAACAAGATATGGGTTTGTCTCTATTAGGTAGATGGAAGGTTTGGAAGGGATTTGATTCACTATTCCATCATTAGCACAAAGAAGAGACCATGCATGGAGAGGTTACACAAAGGCACATGATTTCCTGCTCATTAGTATGCCAAAGCCTTGCCACTTTCCTAAGGCTCCCAGTGGATGAGTTTGATTAGGAAAAGACCCTTTCATGGGTCATTGGCCTCAACATTCTCCCACCCATTCAACCTATCTCCACTATGAGAATTTCCTTACAGGATTCACTGTCTTGTTCTGGTCCTCTTTCTTGTCTACCTCTATCCTCAGGATGGCCTGTTCCCTGTTCCTTCTGATGGAAAGGATTCTGAAGATGCCTGCTGTGTTTCTAAAAGTTCCAGGGGTACCTGATGAGAAGAGGGATTGAGGCCTGGAGCCTGGGGATTGACCAGATGGTGACCTTTCTTCTTCATCTTCAACTCATTCAGATGCTCTTCCTTGTGAATTGAGAAAATCAGACATCATTCTGGGTATGGTGATAGAGTTTGGGAATTCAAACCATGGATGCTAATAAGCTGGCATAAGCTAGTGTGTAGAAATGAGTCTGAGAGGACTTCTACAGAAATGTATCTAAACCAAGTATTGCCCACTGCTATTTCCCCAAAGACCAACTTACTAATGTTTAGCAGTACCATCTTATGTCTTACTGTTTAACATGTCCCCTTCATGCAGCACAGTGATAAGACCCTTGGGTGGCATACCCCAGGAAAGGTGGCCTTTTGACTGTTTTCTGCTTGTAAAAATATATTTTATGAGGGTGATGTTTCATAACTCTCTCCCACTTATTTAAGCCAAGGTTATCCTTTCCCCTGTAAGAAAGATCAGGGCACTGAGACCACAGCAAAATGATAGGCCTCAGGGTTCTTCAATCTATGAATGATGGCTGTGTGATTATCAGCAACTTCATCCTTTCACTAAATAAGGAAGGAGAATCATTGTTCTTTATATGGACTAACTATACCTCTGCTAGTTATATAGGGTTATAGTGAAGGTCAAAGTAAACATCATGAGGGGCTTTTAAAGCCTCACGTCACCATCAAAGGGAAGGTAGCATTACATTCCCATTTTTCTCTGGGGTTCAGAACCATCTCTACTGGGCTGTGTTCTACAATTGCTGCAAAAGTTTGGACCTCCCCAAAGCAAAGAACACCACAGCATGGTGTCAGTGGAGCTCATAAGCCAGTACTCCTGAGTCACTACTGAGGGTTCATAGGAAAACTGGGGTAGAAAACAACTGAGACAGACTATATTGGAAGCTTCTGAGTCCAGTCCAGGTCAGCCCATTAAGCAAAGTGCTAGGGGATGGTCTTTAGACATTGGTGGCTAGTAACCTTGTTGGGAGCAGTGGTTTTGTCCTGGGGTGATCTAAGTCTGAACCTACAAAAATTCCAATTGAAAGGCAGTCTATTTCTGTTACTTTGAGACTAGGTTCTGAGACTTGCTTTCATTCTAGGACTATGTACAGTCTTTTCACTTGGGGACCCCACCTTTGTCTACTAGAAATCACGATATAAAAATAATTCTGTCCTCTAAAGCTGTAGATATCCTCCAGTTTTTCTGTGATGTTTAACTTTGTGGGCTAGAGATGTCCACTTCTAGAGAAGCACTAGCCTTCCACCTGGGCACTGACTGTGATTTTTTCCATCTGCTCTAAGCAAGGACCAGTTTTTGTTTCATGTCTCTTTAAATGGTTGGGTGAAATATCTAAACATATTCAAGAGACCGCTTGGTATTTAGTGTTCCTCTAAAACAAAAAGGATAAGGGAAAGGAATTTGGGGACAAGGAAGGAGAGCAGGAGGGAGGGGAGAAAGAAACACTACTTACGCCGCCTGCAGCCACATTTTTTAATTCTTTTGGGATCTGTGACGTCATCATGACAGGCCTTGCAGTAAAAAAATGCCCTGGAAAAAGAGAATGGAAAAGCTGACATGTCTCATAATCCACCCAAGTAAAATGAGTACCATGTTTCCCCCGAGGTGGTGCCAAATTAATGAAACAAGCCAGCCCTAATTTCCTTTCATCTTTTGAAAAGTTTAGACATTTGCAGACGGAAATGTTTGTTGTAAGACCACTTGTTTCAAACCCAGGATTCTGTGATTGGAGTTGGTGCTTCTTTTTATAAACTTTTATTTGCAAAGGAACAGGGAGAAAGGTCTTGCCCATGTGATACACTAGGCCTGTGATTGTCAGTTCTGAGAACGGCACTGAGTACTGGTCCGTGGAACACATAGCCAATATCCCTGAGTCTTTGGAGTGTGCTTTAAAAACAATTATGAAATCACCACAGTCTACTTGAATACACAAGGGCACAAGGATGATGGTTCACATTCAAAACTAAATATTACCATTGCCACTTTGAAAGCATCTTTTCTCATTAGCCAAATAGAAGACTGAGAGTCACTGGAGAGAGAAGGGACTAGACAAACAGTGAGTCCAGTGGTTCCCATCAAACTCTCTCCTGGGATTCAAAGCCCATTTTACCCCAAACTCCAAGCACATATAATGAATAAAACTTTTGCTTTTTCTATGGCATCAGACTCAGATGACCATTGGAATGAGATGAGGAGGGGAATGGTGGATAGAATGAGCACCAAGAAGGAGCAATTAACAACAATAACAAAGTCCCTTAATTTGACTTGTGTCAATCTGGGACTCCAAAACTACTTTTGATGAGAACTACTTCACATCAGTATTTAGAGAAATAACATGGGACCTGAGTGGGCAGACTATGCTCTTCCAACTTGAGATGGTGTAAAAGCATGCCCATACAACCATTTAGCTATGAACTTTCAGCACAGGAGTCACCAAGTGACAGGAGATACTCAACTGTTGGTAAATATATTAAATAGGCTTCGTGTTAGATGGTTCTGCCAAACTGTAAGTTAATGCTAAATGCTTGAACACATTAGGCAGTCTGGGCTAAGGTGTGATATTCAGTAGGTTACATACATTTTTAGCTTAAGTTCTTTTCAAATTATGATGGTTTATTGGGATGTAACTCCATCATAAGTAGAGAAGAATCTATACTGGGGAGGTAATAAAATTTACTGGAATAACCTTCCAACCCTCTGGATGCAGGAACTAACAAAATCCTAGGCGTAATGCCTTTACCACTCCCAACATGAAATTGAGTGCCAGGAATAAACATGGTCATTTCTTGATGGAGGCTAGAGAAATAAACACAGTTCTCAGGTTCTTTTATGTTTTCTACAGGGTTTACATTTCTACATCAAGTCCAATGCTCTTTCAATTCAAGGGGCTCCTCAACCATTTATTTACACTTCAGATGTCTTCCTCTTTTCAAAAACAGAAAAAGTGGTGGTTTGCTCTGCATGGCACTGTGGGTAGGATATTGATAGATGGTGCTCTGCCTTGAAACAAGAGGGACAAGAAGGGGCAAGGAAATTCCCATCCACTTCATATGGCCATTTTAGTCCTGTTTAGATGTTCTCATGGGTGATAATAAAGCAGCAGTAATAACAGCCAACAAACTATAGGCTCAGTACTGCTCTATGAATTTAAAAAGCATTAATATATTTTATTTTCACACAACCCCCTTTGAAGGAGGCTTGATAAAGATAAGGGAACTGAGACAGGGAGAGATTAAATGGTCTGTTCAAGGTCACATGGCTAGGTGACAGAGTCTGGATGCAAGACCAGGAACTAAAAGCCTTAAATATGTATGCTTCTCTAAAGAAATGGAAATATGATCTATAATAATATAAAGCTAAATATAAATATAATACAAAATATAAATGTGAAACTAAAGCCCAGTTATTTATATCTAATGTTTTATTTTTAACTGACAAAAGATATATATGTGTGTGTGTGTATGTATGTATATATATATATATATATACACACATACACATACACACACACACACACACACACACACACACACACACACACATTTGAAAACCTACCCTAAAAGAAAATTTGCTAAAAGAGATTTTCATGAATACAATACACTGTTTTAAAAACCTATGGGCCAGGGAGTAACATAACAGGTAACAGCACTTGCTGTGGAACCTGACAGCTTGAGTTTGATCTCTGGGCCCCAAGTGATAGAAGGATAAAAGTTGTTCTCTCACCTTCCTTCAAGGTGAATAAATTCTCACATCCATTCAGCACAAATAAATAAGTAAATGCAAAAGTATGCAACTATGGTCACAGCATTTTACAATAACCTCTTATGTTTATTTCCTTGTTTATATTAATATCTTATGTCCCTTGGCCCTCATTACCCAGATGTCTTGCCCCAGCTTCTAGTAACTACCATTCTACCTTGTCCTTCCATGGGCTTGGCATTTTAAGGCTTCATATGTAAGTGAGATGACATGTAAATGAGTTGAGCAGTATTTGTCCTTCTGTGCCTGGTTTCTTTCACTTAGCTAAATAGATGCTACTGTCAGACAGGTGTGGTTAATGAGGGAGATGAGCCAAGGGCTAAAGGTGTCCATGGTCACAAGAAGACATCCGCTCCAGATGAAAGAGGAAGATTCTTTAAACCACAAGTTAATGTTTGTTCAGTGATAGTTCTTTGGGAGTTACCCCACCCAGATAAGCCCCCAGCACAATGCCCTTCATTACAACTATGCATTTGACCAGGTAAACTCAGTGATCCTGGGAACAAAACCCCCTTTGGTCTCAGTTCGGTGGGGCCTTTTCCCAGCCCTGGTGCCTTCACTATTCTCCTGATGCTTGTCTTCTTACTCCAAAGCAATTACCATCCCCTTCTTTCCCAGCTCCCACACCAACAGGAAGACCTCCTCCACATCCCACTAGGCTGGCCTTAAGGTCTCCTTGTCCTCTGTTGCTCTGTGTAACTAAGGGTCATAAGGCAACTAGAGGTGGGAAAGGATGAGTTTGCTCTCTGGTGGGTAGTGAGACAGCCACAGAAACATTTCCCCACTGGAGGGCAACACTCCCACTGAGCAGTCACCACACCTACACTATGCCCTCTTCTCCACCAAGCTTCTACCTTCTTCCCCAGGGTCTCTGCAGTTTCAGGCTGAAAGCAGCTTTCACCTGCAGCTGCCCATGGAAGGCTTTGCTATTTTTCCACTAATTTTAATCATCGTACTGTCATTCCATTTATATGACTCCCCCTCTATAAAATTTTGCTCTTGTTTCCCACTTAAGTGGATCACTTGTTCCCTGCCAGGAACCCTTATTAATGTGGCCCCATATTTATATTTATATCTCTCTTTTTCCTAGAACTCCAGACCCTTGGATGTACCAGCCTTTAGGATGACTTCATGGTATAGTTAGGACCAATCTTAATTGTGGCCCAGGTAGAATTCCTCAGTTCCTACCACCTCCATCTTCCTCTAGTTCCCTCATCTCAGCAAGAGCCCATCATTCTCATTGCCCCAAGCCTAGGACTCAGCCTTGCTTCCTCCTCCTCTCCCACTTCTATGCACTTCATGAATGCACACTACATTCCCGGAGTGGTCCAAATGCGAGTCACATACCACCCACCACCCACCCACCTCTGCTCGAGAACAAGAACAAGCTTCTGGCTTCTCTCTACACTATTTGACAGTCTCTGGATATCATGCCTCCTTTTCTGACCCATCACAGGTCGAGTAGACTGATCTTTGAGATCAAGTTTTGACTGTAAGCAAAACATCAATATGTTTCATCCCATAACAAAGCCTTTCTCTTCATAAGTATCCGAAGAGCCAGTTGCAGCCTTTGCCCTGATCTCTCCCCACTTCTATCCTCTGCTACTCTTCTGACCACGCTGATTTGTATTGTCTAAACACAGTGTGTTAAATACAATGAACTTCATTATCTTCCTTTTCCATCTGATCTTTGCATGAATGACTCTTCACCTTCATTTCTATTTCTGTTTGGATGCCACCTTCTTAGAAGAGCAGTTTTGCTGACACCAATTGAAATCCTTCCTTTTATTTTGAATTTTTTAAGAACCTGAAATTCTTCTATAGAATGTAACCCCAGTACAGCAGATGGGCTCTCCAGACCCTCTCAAACATTAATTAATAGGCAGATATTTGATGAATGGATGAATGAATGCATTTGAGAATGCTTCCAATTTGGGGAATTCCATGTTTTGAGAAGAAACCAGAAGTAGAGATTTTAGTATAAATGCACACAACATCTTTTAACTTGACAACTAATCTATTATTTTTGATTATGATTCAAACGAGTATGTATCTGCTAAAGGAAGTGAAAGAGGTAGTGGACTGTGCTCCAGAGTTATTTAAAAGGGGGAACATTTAAGGGAATCAAAAAATATGACCAAGCACCTGTCTCAGAGTAAACTCTTAATGAGACTAGATGGGTTCACTCCTCTTTGTCTAAGCCTGGCACCTTAAGTTTCTCTGGCACAGAACCCACTAACCTCTCTTATTGCATGTTGTTTTGCTTTGGTTTTTTGATGTTGTTTTGGTTTTGTTGTTGTTGTTGTTGTTGTTGTTTTTGTTGCTTTCTTTTTTCATCCACAGCAGAGGGTAAAAACCCAATAAAAGAGTATCATAATCTACTTTTCCTTTTTTTTCCCCAAAACTTGTTTTGTTTCATTCAAATTTGCAATGTCCTTTCTGTAGTTTCCTGCATTCTTCATCTGTCTGAAATCTCCTAACTGACAGCATTTTCTCTGACACATCACACACTATGGAAAATTATAGGCTGGAGTTGTAGCTAGTGGTGTCAGCTTGTATTTGGGAATACCATAAAGCATGGAAACGAGACATATTACATTCCCTAATATAGGAGGTAATTTGTTTCCTGGACTGCCGGTATCTGTGACATTCATTAGTGAGAGATGCAGTAGAAATAGAATTACACAAATGGGAGCTCAGGTTGAATTTGCTATCTGGAGGTGTGCATGATGTATGGTGGCTATGCTTCATCCTACCATGCTTAGAGCTGAGGTTCAGATTTAAGCTTCTGTGTCTCACAACTGGACAGGTCATAGCTATTCCAGAGATTCTGGTGGGGTGGGGGAAGCTCACCCAAACACTTTCCTTTCTTACTTGAACATCTATCTTGAACCCCTGTCTCAGCCTATTTTATCTATGAACCAGATAGAGATGCATTTCACTCACATGGTTTAAGACTGCCAATCATTCTCCAATTTGCAGAAATAAACTTATTGGAGATGCCAGTTAAAAAACAAAAACAAAAACTCAACCCAAAGGGTTTTTTTCCCCTGGAATATTTTTAACTAGTATAAAAACTTGTTTAAAGTCCCATTTGCTAGAGTTGAATGGGTAGAAAATAAAATCATAGGCCTGACTTGTCAAAAATCATGGCTCTGTACACCCTATTTCTCACTAGCACTGTGACTTTGTTCAATCCAGCCAACCAAGCCATGCTTCAGTTCCCTTCTAGACAAATTAAGAACTGTAAGGCTACAGGTAACTGGGTAAGGCCATAAACACAAAAAACCCGTTAGTACCTAGAGTAGTGCTAGTGGATAGTAGGCTCTCATAAGGGGGTGTTGTCTTTCACAAACAAACAAATAAATAAAAAGCCAAAGTTATGAGTACTTTCTAAGACTGATTTCGATTTCCATGGTTATTTTTTGAGGGTTGGCATAAAGAAAAAAGCATGCCTAGCATAGTCCTGGTTCTGAGTTGGAACCTATTAGAATACAATGGGCATCTACAGAGAAGTGAAGATCCTCATAGTCAGTATTGACTTAAAATAAATAACACAATTGTTCAATTGAGTACCATATTTTCTGAAAGCCAAAGTTTTGAAGCTGGTGGAATAGAACCAAATAGAAATAGTAGTCTACACTGATATGCAAAGCTCTATGATTCCCTATGTTACTTAAACAGGAATAAAGACACTAATAAAAATTTCATGAAATGTCGAGCCTGGTGCTAGCCTCATACTAGACCCAAAGAGACTTCACAACTGAAGTTGACAATTTTAGCCAGTACTTTGAAAGTTGCGAACACAAATATGGGTAGTTTAATGTTCCATCTAAAATTAATCCAAATTGTCTGAAATTCCACTTGGCACTTACAGAGAAAAATCTGTAATATACAAGGACATTTACCAACACAGTACCAGGAAAATGACCTCAAATAGGGGCCAGAAGTCCCATGAATCTCCTTCAGAACAGGCAAGAATCAAAATGATTTGAAGCCACTTCTGCTTTCTGGGACGGTTTCTTTTCTTGTAAGATGAGGGAGCAGATAACTAGGTTTCCTGATCTAAAATTTTAGTATTCTGATTTGTAGACAGGGAACTGACTATGGGAAAAGAGCTCAAGGAAGCAACAACACTAGTTCTGGAGTTAAAGTCTTGGACATGGACATATGGAACATGCAGGTCTGGGTAGATCAAGGTGTCTGTGACTGGACCAGAAAGGAAGGCAGATACGAATAAACTCTTACCTTTTAACTTCCTTGGCATCACTTGCAATGAAGAATCCTAAAGTACCTTCTTGGATCTTAAGGTGGTTCCCAGGGTTAATTAATATTCTGCTCAGCGAACAGAAAGAAACAAAGAAGATATACGTATGAGCTCATGTTCAGGGTAAGACCTTAATGGCAACACCATCCTGTTGTTTTGATAGGGGCCCCACTAGTCTAATGCTTGCCCCAAAGACTTTTTCTTAGAGCCTGACATTCACTGGCCCACACATGTAGTTCGATCATGCCATCTTTTAGCTCCAGGTGGCACACTCAAAGGCAGGGAAATCAAAGACCCAGGTCTTAGAGTCTGGTTTGCTTAATGGCGTGGATTAGGTGCTCCCAGAAGTACCTGGAGGGAAGCTTGGCTCCTATTTTGAAACTGATTTTGATGGTCAATATTAAAACATAACCTAATGAAGCTTTATGAAATACCCATTCTCCCTTAGGTGATATAGCATTAATGGGACCCCTATATGTATACAGAAACATACATATATATACATACCACATATGTCCATGGGGAATGGTACAAGACACCTATATTATATGCAATGTAGAATGAATCTGAACATCTTTAGAACTTTGATAAGGACATGGAAGTAGAATCCATGAATCTACATGGTGACAAATGGAGTTATTATCTGTCAAATATACCCAGTTATTCCAGTCTGCTTTTTATAAAAATGGATGAGTTGAGTGAATAAGATGTAAAAATAGCATGTCTTCATTGGGTCACTCTGGAGTCTAAAGACAAATGAAAATTATCTTTAAAAACAAAATAAAACAACTGCCTTGTCTTGCAGTGATATACAAATTTAAATATGCACGGCCCTACTTCCAAGTGCTAGACATAGATTAGCTGACTAAGTTCTGTTTGGGATGGCAGTAGAGATAATGGATCCTAATCTAATAAGTGGGAGAAACAAGCAAGTTTCTACAGATCAAACACAGAATACTAGGCTGTCCTGTGCAGAAATAGTGATGAGGCTTTCAGTTTATAGGTGTAGAATTTAGCAACATGGGATGAAACAAAAGGCAATGGCAATAGTATTTGATATGAAAATCTGGTGATTAAGGTAGGAGGCATTTGGTCTCAGGTTAAAGCAAGCCCCTAGCTGCCCAAAACAAAATGGGAGAGGGTAGACATTAACATGTGATCTTTGTTTAGTGGTAAGACCATTTCAGAAAAACAAACAAACAAAACAATGTTGTCAAAAGAGACCTCTATCTGCAGAAAAACAGGGAGGGCCCAGGTAAACTTCTGTTTTGTTGGAAGAATTCTAATCAGATCATCTCTGCAGAGATCACTGACTGTGGCTGCAAAAGCATCCACCATTGCCCATTATAAGACATGACAGCAGGAAGAGGGGCTTGTGCCACTGCTGCTGTTAACTCTAAATAACAGCAGAGAGTAAAACGGTGACTGCTCCGCCCCAGAACCACCAGCAGCAATGAATATCCTTCACTATCAGTGATCATCAGTCAACACTAAAGGGGCAGCAGTCTGTACTAATGACACACTGCAAAAGGCAGGGGTTTTGTAAAGAGACCTTATAATGACTCCTCTGTAGACTCCCACACTCATGTCACAATCACGAAGCAATGGGATCAGAGACCATACAGATTTTTACAGTTAAACAAATGTAAAAATTTGCATGTTTGTGCATCTGAGACTATACAGATTATATCAATTTCCTTTTCAAGATGATGAAGTAAGGCATTTTAGGGTCACAGGGTTCTAGAACTTGTACATTTATTATCTAATGTTCCTGAAAGGCAGTTGCTATGTGAATGACTCTGCAATCAGAAATTGGGTCTATATTCTAGCACGAAGTGGTAATGTTGGATAAGTTCCTAAACCTCCCACGAACTCAATCCTTTCCCTATGAGAGGCATGTTAATACTAACAAAAGCCTTTTGTCAAAGAACTAAGTAAGATAATATCTAAACAGCTTGATACCTTTTGTTTATGGTTATTGTTATCATTTCATTCTTGCAAAAACATCCAAGTATAGTATGTTTCAATGGTCCCCCCGCTCTATGCACTGGAGCACTTCTAATCACAATAATCCTCTGAGATGAAGTTATAGGATTAAAACAAAACTATACATGACAGAGTGAGTTTATCTTTTAAAAATCCACACACACACTTCTGGAGACTTCAACATATATTCCTAAAAATTTGGGAAATCTCCATTTTGATAAGAATTCACATAAGAATGAAAGAAGAGCTCCCAAGTTGGGCGGGTGGGTGGAGTCCCATCATGATTTGAACAACAAAATATGAAAGGTAAAATCTGACCCACATTGTGACACGTATGCCCCAAGGCCTGTGTTTCATTCCCTCGTGCTTTTTGTCACATTATCTATACCCTAGCAATCCAGCCCACTTTGTCATTGTGAAATATTGTGATCTCCAGGTTCCCATCCAGAGAAACTTCTTTTCATTTCCTCCTGTCTTTATCTGCACTGAAAAAGAATTGACCTGCAGTGAAATAGGGAATTGGCAGTCTAGAAAATGCAGGTCAAGGTAACTTACTGCAGTCTTCAAGTATCTTTTAATCAAGATGGTGTGCTAAAGAGGAGAGGCTTGTTACTGGTGGAGGTTGCCCTGGTGTTCAAGTCCCAGGTTCTCTAGCAATCAATGTTAGTAAAGTACTTAGTTGCATGAATCAGCCCTAACCATTAGATCCTGGCTGTTGAGGCAGCTAAGCCTTGCCCTCTTAATCTATAAAGTGCAATGTATAATCCCTGGCTGAGGATGTTCCTAAGAGAATAAAGGCATATAGTCTATGCATTATTTCTTTAATCTTTGGTTTCTATAAATATAAGCTGTCATAACTCTACTGGCCTATTCTCCATTTTGTCTTCAATGCTAATTGAACCCTTGTGTGGGTGCGGTCTCTGCAACATCTAGAAATGGGCTATGACATATTCACTTTGGGCTACACATAGTCACTCCCATCCCTTGAGGCTTATAGTGATGTGCAAGAGACAGACAGCATCTCATTGTCCCCAGAGCTCTTGAGATCCTAGCATGCCCTCATGTGCCCTGTGGACAGAGTAAGAAGATTAAAATTACATTCATATGAAGTATGAGCAGGTAGAAAGGTTAGGCTAAGACAGGCTTGAGATGGGGTAAGAGATTCAAAAGAATGAACCGAGCCAATGAAAACAATGAAATACAAAGGCCATAAGCACAGGATGCTCTATGGCATATAGATAGAATAAGGGTGGTGAAGAACAAGCCTCTGGTTCCCAGAGCCCACAACATATGAACTTTTCTGTGTGACCTGCAAATTTCAAAGAATCTTTGAAGAAATACATTCCTGATCTTTGTCATAACATCCTGATCAGATGTCATAAATGTTATCTACATTTCAAAGCTAGAATATTTAAATGAACTGCTAGCACTTTTCTTCTTGGAAATGTAAAAAGTTAAGAATTCTAAGTAGGAGTAACTTTTTTCTCTCCCTACAAAATACCTTCTAGACTCAAAATTTGTTATTGACCTACTGGGAATATGTTAATTTTTCCCCAAACATTTCTGACTCTGACCTTTTTAGACTATTCAATGTCAAGTTTGTTTTGTTCTTATGGGTGCCAAAAGTCCTCCTCCCTAAGCACTGCTTTAAATCAGTTCTCTGGCTCCAATTTTGTCTAAGCCATAAGCTTATCAGAGATAAAACTCAAGATGTGTTACGTAGAAATTCAGAGAAATCTCCAAGAGAAGCCTTCTATTGAGAGAGGCCTCTCTCTGTATATCCATTAGCAGAATTCCAACAAGGACATTTTGGCAGGAGACATTTCGTCATTTCCAGGAAGATATAAATTATCCTCTTTTTACCATAACCTTGCTGATTTTAATTGAAAATGTCTAGCGACAGCACAGGGCTTGTGTGGTCCCCTCTCCAAGGATTCACGCTCATTTCACTTCCTATTCTGCAGTGAGGCTCATTCTTTGTCTGCTTGCCCTCCAAATAAGCAAAACATATACTCTATGTAAGAAAACACTGCTGATTAGAAAACTGAGAAACAGGAACCCTTTATTTATTTCTAAGCTTCTCTTAGTAGAGCTTAGAGTCCTATATGCATCTAGGCACTTTCTAGCTCTATAGAATAAAAAGCCTATGTCATAGTCCTTGGTCTCAGTTCTCAAAGTTTCCCCTTTTTCTCTCCAATAAATGAAAGCAGCACCTATTGCAATTCTCATCAATTAGCCCGATCAAACGAGTGACCACAAGTCTTCTTGTAGATTGGCCACCAAGCTAATGAGTTCCCAGAGGCATTAAGTATAAATATGCAAATATGTATACAGTCACTTAGGCAGCTGGAGCAATTGGTTTCAATACTGAAAGCACAGCTTACTTAGAAATGAAATCCAAGTTTCTGATTGCAGAACACATCTACATGGAATGGGCTCTATTCAATAGGGCATGTCTGTATCAGGGCCCTATGGGAGATGCTACATTGAATTCTGTTTCATTGACCAGAATTTGAACTTGAGGCAGATAGAAAAAATCAGGACTAGGTGGAAAGAAATATTCTTTTTTTCTTTCTCTAACATTTAAAGTGTAACCCTTGCAGAATATTTAGCAATCCTTCCTTCAATCCTTGTAAACCTTACAGTTGTTTGGGGTGATGGTCAAGGATTGGTAATTCAACTGAAACAGGCTCCTTAAAGGAGATTTTCATCCACTATGGACAAATAAAATAAATATATGCACACATGTGTACACGTGTGTGTGTGTGTGTGTGTGTGTGTGTGTGTGTGTGTGTGTGTGTGTGTGTGTGGTTTTATTCCCACCCATTCTCCTTGAGGCATCGTGTACCATTCCCCAGGCAATTGAGAAAACACCACAACTTCCGTGAGGGTACAGTTTATACTTCAAAAGACTATAATCATAGTTGTGTCTAGCAAGCTAATGGGACTTCATTAAACAGAGTAAGCAAGTCAGAAACATTGAGCAGCTCAGTTCATGCTATGCCCAGATGACTCACACCACTGGGAAGAGGTCTCTCTGATCACTCAAGTTCATATACAATTACTATCAACAGGAACTTGATTTGAACCAATTTCTGTCCCCTCTCAGGAAGTTTAACTGCATTGCAGTTTGTGTTCTGTTGTGACATATCTTACCAAAAAACCCAAATCTCAAACCTCATCACTTCTCTGGAGCTTTCCATTTCTTCCGGGCTTTACAATAAGTGCTGTTGGAGTCCCACACAAGTAGACACATGCATTTACATTAGAATAAGTGTAGAAGACACAGTTGAATATTCCATGCTTCAATATGCAGAGGCCTAGTTCACTTACATACAGAGACACCATAATCAAGGTTGCTCCCAGTGGGCCAGACTCAAAAGACCAACATTGTGGTCCAAAACAATATTGGCAAGATCTGTTTTAGGTTGACTCCACATCGATAATCTTAAAAGTAAAGTTTCAATATATTTTTATATTATAAAAGACAAGCTACTGCATGGGAGAGGATAGAAAACGCTGGTTTAGGAAGGATAACACTGGATATGTGGTTCTGGGAGCAAGCCATACCCTCTAGTAGACTTTAAGACAAGTCATGCCTACATCACAACATGCCTTCACCACAAAGTAAAAGGACCCAAGGCCAAAAGCCAACAGCAGAGGTGCAACCACTGTGGACCTTTGAAGATGCATAGTGTTGCAATAACTTCTTGCAGTTGGATCATATCAATAATACCAAACTGACAGGAAGCCACCTCTATTTATTCACATCTACTCAAAAATAATCACAGATCTGACATTGGAAAGAGTCCCAGACAACAAAAACACACAAGTATAAACACAAACACATGACAGTGACTGCAACCATAGAAGAAATCATGAATAGGCTGGCATTGTAATAGTCTTTTTTCAACAGTACTGTCTTAGAGAATGCATCATTGAAAAACTATGCCGAAAATGTAACAATAACAAAGCAATCACCCCAAACCCAAATGATTGAAAAATGTCATTGATGATAATTTAGTCATGCTCCATGCAATACAAAACAGGGGCTAAACAGGATGAAGTGAGAAGGTGATAGCTGAGATACTCCCCATTTAGAAATGTGCCCACACACACAAGGGGAAAAAGAAAACCATGAGTTTGTCCCAACAAACAGTGCTTACTGTAGAACACAAATATGACAGCTAGGCAGCTCAGTACCAGCATCTTAAGTTTCTACAGAACACTGATCAATAAATTAGATAGTCAAAATGAAATCAACCCAAACAAATACAAGAAAAGGGAGAGGTGCAAGGGCTTGGTCTCTGCTTTGTGGATAAAGGACAGACTCTGATCAACAAAGTGGAAACTCGACAGAGGGGAGAGGAGGTCACTGGGAATGTGGATGAAGACAAACTGGTGCCCACCTCTGATAGACACCAGGACATCAGGACAATACAGAAACAGACACAGAGGGCTGGAGATAAATGTTCTCCTTTTCAACTTTAATATGATTTGTTCCCATCATTAGCACTGTGATTGAAGACAGGGTTATGCCTTTGCATTTACTTTATTTATTTGTTTGTTTATTTTAGTTCTCCTGCGAAGAAGTTAGTGCACCAACCAAAAGAATCAACAAATCAAACAAGGAGAGCAGCAGGCTACTTTTATGTATTCTAGTTGGAGATGGGTGATATATATATATATATATATATATATATATATATGTGTGTGTGTGTGTGTGTGTGTGTGTGTGTGTGTGTGTGTGTGTATATAATATATATACACACATATATATATATGTATACATATAGATATAATATATATATATGTACTACACAAGGGAATGAGATTATATATATACATATATAATCTATCTCTTCTTGAATTCTTGGCAAATGGTTAGTCCTGTGGTTAGAAGTGAAGACAGAGGGTGGAGGTTGGAAGGAAAGTTAACGAAGAATGCATACCGCTTTCGGCTTCTGCAAAAACGACAAGAAAAGAATTTCAAATCAAACAATTTGATAATAAATTAACTGACACCAGGAGGAAGGAAGGAATAAAACCTTTGTTTCAAATCATTTGAAGGATGCGTGTGAAAACAAGGTTTATCAGCAAAGCATGAAAACAGTATCACGGGTGAAACCAACAACAGGGAACAGGGAAGATCCTCAAACACAGGTCAGAGGTGGGAAGGTGAGGAAGAGCAGTGGCTTCTCTAGATTTCCATACCTGGTCCATTGCAGTAGTGAGAGGATGAGGATTAGGTCTCTCACAAAAAAAAAAAAAAAAAAATATATATATATATATATATATATATATATATATATATATATATGATCATTTTGCACTTAGAGTTTTGTTGGGTATGTCCTGTGTTTCCTTGGGGGGTATGATCCACATTCCCTCCAGCACACCTTTTTCCACAAGCACTCATATGCTTCCACACTGAGACCAAGCCACACTGAGGATTAATGCAGGCAACTGCACACAGAAAGCCAATACAAAGCCAGACAAGGTCCTTTTATTGTCTTTTCTGGGGGCACTGGGACGAGAAACAAAATCCACAACCTGTATCTCTAAAAAGCAGCTCAGGTTTATGAATCAACAAGAAGGCCTATCAAAAAGAAGACTGCATCTTCATGGGACCCAGATCTGTCTCCTTAGAATGATGCCTGCATTCTAGTGGCACCTTCTCTTTCCCTGTGGCCAAAGGGTAATTAGTGGTAGCTGAGTGGCTGATGCTCATGACTTGGTGCAGTCCTCTCTGACCATGAGATCATTCCAGAGGTTTCAGAAAACACTTGTCAGCATCAGTACCACCTACCAGGTGACACTTTTCTTTCTTTTATTTATGTTTTGAGAGAGATGGACAAAAGTGATAAAGAGAGAACACTCAGACCCACAAAGGTATGCTGACTTGGCATCACAAAGATCACCATTCACAACACCCACTTCCACAAAAAAACAAAAACAAAAAACAAAAAGCCGGGACCCATAGTCCCTCCTCCACACACATAGATTCAGGTAAGGCTGGAGCAAACAATAATCCTAGAAAATTCCAGTTTAACTGTTGAAAGACAAAAATGGCCAGGGCTGTCTTGTGCTCAAATGATACTTTTAATAGTCATTTCTTTGACAACATGGAAAAGAAAAATTTACCCTTCCATACATAGCTTTTAAATTGCTACCACTGTATTCTAAAAATGGCCACCAAGTCTGCCATTTTCTCTTCCATTGTCTGGTTGGTTTGGATTTTCAAAGTAATTCAGCATTAGATCAGATTAGCTGTGGACCATCCATGTGATTTGCCAGTTAAGGGGAGGAACAACAGATGATCCACTTGCTTGTGATCCAGTGTTCATTTGTTTTTGTCACAGGTACATACTTGGACATAGGTATCTGTGCATGTGTGTGTGTGTGTGTGTGTGTGTGTGTGTGTGTGTGTGTGTGTGTGTGTGTGTGTTGGGGGGGTATCATTTATGAAGATGGTGAAAACTCCTTGAATGACAGTAGTAGAACTTTGTAAATGGCCCTGCATTCTGTTCCGTTATGATGGTGTGTATTGGGGCAGCCTGCCCCCTTGTCCTTGTGAACTTTGTACAAGCAAAGGCCTCACTAGAGCAGGGACAGCATCTGGATACACCATTTCAGAGAAAAAAAGCCAGGCTATCTTTTAACCAGTTATCTTTCTTCTAAAACTATGACTGAAAATTGAAGATCAAAGATCATCTATGTTATCAATAAGGCACATAGGACCCCCCGACACACACCAGATTCCTGTTCATACAATGCTGCCATCAACCAGCAATAAGGTCATATATTGACTGGCGTGTTATCTATGTCAACCAGATCCTGTCCCTCACTGGTCTGATTTGCACATCATTAAGTGAAAAATAAATAAATAATGAGAGCTCCTGCCTCAGAGCTCTTCTCTCCTGGCTGCTAATTTACATGAAGCTGATACTCCGCCACCTGGATATCAGCTGCAGTGGGAGAAACACATATGGTACACAATAGGCTGCTTGAAAATTGGCTATTGAGAGAGCTGACACCTTTTGGCACTGTTCTACCACAGGCTGCTGTAAAGAAGGCCTGGGGCCACCTGCTGTTTGCTTATAGCAGTGAAAGGGACTCCAAGAGAGGGTCTATTCCTGCTTTCTTGTGTAGAGGCTATAGCATAGTGGGTGGAGCTACTCTGAATTGCTCTCTCCTATCCTCCAGGGAAACTTCTGGGTGCCCAGTGGACCATAACATGACAGGTTGGTCTGGGTTAGAACCTTCAATGTCTTGAAATGTATTGCAGGGTTTGAGTGGTGCTGCATTGGTTCCCAAGCAAATAAATCACAAAGTGAGAAAAAGGAAGTAGACAGACCCTTCTCAGGATGCACACTTCTAACACAAATGTCAACTTACCGGCTCTCCCGGTTGGCAGACTTGTACTCAATGGCTATCATCAGGAGCTTGAGCTTCACAAAGCACAGCCTGCAAAGAGACAGAGTTCTCCCAGTCAATGCTTGTAGATAGCAGTCTCATAATGAATACCTTATGGAACTTGCTGTCCCCTAACATAGTCATTGTTCAGGGTTTATCCAGGGGACCCTCAGTCTACCCCCTGGGTGCAAAAGGCAGGGTCAGTAAAGAGACACCAATTCATCTTCCCCATAAAAGCTGGTTTTTCCACCTGTGATAAGGTACTAGATATTCAAAGTGAAAATTGGGCTCTGGACTGGGTATCTAGACACAGACCCCAAGCAGAGATTTGTGCCTGGAGATTTACAGCAGCCAGATTCATTAGTTACTCAGCCAGGTAGTAAAATGTTAACTGCAGAGGGAGGGAGAGACCTGGAGCAATGTGACCTGTTATTTGGATTCCATTTTGGTCTTTTGTATAAATGGCTCATATTGTTGTTCAGAGCAGCCCCCCCCCCCCGTGTACTTGGAATGATGGTAATAACACTTAGCCTCCATCTAAGTGTCCAGCGCATGACTCCAGCTTCCTCACTCATGACTCCATCCAAGCTGTCTCACCTCCTCTGCCCAGGGCTCTGGGCTGCAGAGCAGACTGCTGTCTATTGGCTTGTTCCTGCCTCCCCACCTTCACTTTGGTATCCTCTTTATCCCCTAATATCTTCTCTTCCAAGCTATCTTTCCAGGCCATGGCCAGTCTAATCACCAACTCTAAGTAATATTATAATAGCTATTGCTCTCTTCAAAGATTTTATTTTCCAAACCTCTCCAGTTCCTTGCCTGTATATACATCATTTAGCTCCTACCTAAATTCACACTGGCTGTGGCTGCTTCTCGTAGTTTTTTGTGTGTTAACATTCTCTCCTTAGCCACAGAAATACTTTAAGATGTTTAGAATCCCCCCCACAGTGCGTGGTGAAGGGAGCCAGGGACACAGAGGGCCTGTGTAAAGAGATGAATCTTACTGTGTCACAGCTCCAAGAATATAAAAAGAGGCATCATAACATGTTCAGGCATGAAGAGATTTGAGGTAGTGCAATTCATGTGGTGTAGAAAACTCAAAGGCAAAGGTTACATGAAGAATGCTGCAGTGGGTGTAAGGTTGCTAAATCCAGAAATAATTCTGAAAACTTTTTAAGATGTGAGAGTCACAAAGAATAAGATATAAACCTGAAAATAATGTAGTACAATATAGATTAAAATGGACATTGACTATTTAAAGATATAAGAGCTCACATGGATAAAAAATGAACCATATATATTAGGCATCACATATTTCTACAATAAGCATTATAATGTATTTTAGATGATATTAAATAATGAAACATTATTCAAGTGATAATGGAAAATGAACCCTAGTCATTTAGTTTCAGTATTATAAAGGGGATGAGGTACAAGGTCAAAGAGTTAAGGCCTTCCTTGATGACTTTTTATTTCTCACCACCTTCCTCCATGGGAGATAACTGTCCTTCTGTTGATATCTCTATTTGACTGGTGGTAAAGCTAAGACCCAAAACACCCATACAAGCTATCCAGTGGTTGAGTATTAGGCTTCTGGCTGACCTGGAGGAATATACATTTTTCTTTCCAGTGTAATGTGATTTTCATTTGGAAAGAACAATTATATGTCAATATATAAGTGAATCAATAATAAATTTCTAGACCTTGAAAAATCCTATGTAGAAAGAAAACAACTTGTGAGAATAAAATGTAAGTAGAAATGGGTGTGTCAATTTGTAATGGTCCAAGAGGACCACCCTGAAGATGCAGAGAGCACTGGAGACAAGGAGATGAAGATGAGAGGAAGTGGAGGAAGGGATCTCTCAGGGGTAGAAATGTCAAGAACAAAAGTCCTAAATCAGGAAAAAAAGGCCTAAATGACTGAGAAGCAGACACAGAGCCTGCAAAGCTGGCACAGAAAGAGCAAGTCAAGACAAGCCATGAGTGGGTTAGAGAGCAAGGCAAGAAAAGTTCATGAGGGCTCTGCTGGCCCCAACAAGGCACATGCTCCTTATTCTAAGTGAATGAGAGACATGGAGTTGATTTGACTTTGTGTGTGGATACATGTTGGAGGGGGGGGGCACATGGTGGAAGCCAGGGGTCAAAGTTGAGTATTGCTCCTCAGACATTGTTTTTTTGAGACAGGTTTGTCTCTGGGAGTTGGAGATCACCAATTCTGCAAGGCTGTGTATCAGGGATCTTCCTGTCTCATACTTCCAGGCACCAGGATTACAAATGCATTTGGCCATACCTGTCTTTTTTCATGGATTCTGGGGTTTGAACTCATCCTCATATTTGCACAGTATGCGCACTACCAATGACCAATGAAACCATCTCCTCAGCTGCTGTGGTTGGTTTTAAAAGATAGAATGACTATATAAGGTAGGCTAGGCATAGAAATGTGAGGCTTGCAAGAAAGGTGCTGGTGCACGGTGAGGACCTCACATTCCCTTTAGAGAATAAGATCAACTGCTCTTGAATGAGAGGTCCTGGCTCCTTGGTATCACCTTCCAGACAGTCAGATCTCAGAATACTCTGATACAAGGGTATCTGGGCTCTCACTATTATTGGAAGGCTTTCTTTTTCCTGCCAGCAGTCTAATGGCCTAAATTTTGAAGTGGTTGTCTAGATCAGTTCTTAACCATCAACACAAGTATCATCAACTCCAGCAGGGACAATGTTCTTAGTTTATGTTCCATTGGACATAATTAACATATGCAATTATACCTTGTGTTGCTATTCTTTCTAGAGTTTAAGTTTTTTTTTAAATCATATAACTTTTGTATCGTTTGCTGAAGCAAAGTACTGGGTTAATTACACATTATTGAATGTAAATAGTAGCCAAAAACATCTGAACTCAGCAAGGATCATGCAAAATTAACTTGTTGGTGCCCTATGGACAACTGTCCTCCTTATTTAAGACTCTGGTAGTTTATGGGAACAAAGATCTTAACTGTTTGCAATAAGCTTAACCCTACTGGTTGGAAGGGAGGAGTGTTGCTAGTAAGTGTGCATTTAATTGCCTCATGACATTTTGGCTAAGATTGGATGCAGTAATGGTGAAAGTGTTCAATCTTAGGTGCTTCGGTGCTATTTACCAGTTGGATAAAACAATGGAGGAGAAACAGAACAGAGTGCTAACAGAGTTTGGGATATGAATGCAGAATCCTGAGATAAGATGTTTTTCATCTTGCTTGTTAGATGCCAACAACCTGGGGAGGGTGCAAAGAGAAATAATAACAGATAAGCTCTGAGAATCTAAGGTGTGCCTCCAACCATTAGACTAAGATGTGAATCTAATGTGAAGATACAGAGAGCCATTTATTCTTGCCCTCGTCCAGAACCCGTGTTACAGGAGAGCTAATGCCTAAAAATATGTCTGCAGACAATCCAGAGTTGATATCCTTTGGCTGAATACTAACTTGAATTTTTAATTTTTTTAGTAAAGCAGAATGGGCATTGCATTCAAATGTCTTTTGCATTAAAAAAAAAATACTAAGAGATGTAGCCTCCAAGTAATGTGTAGTGTGCTACTTTTCATATGAACAGAATGAACTCAGAGAAGCCCAACATGAAGCTGACCCATATTGTTCGACCAACAAAATAGTCCTTCAAAAAAAATCTGGTTTTTCAGCATTCTTTAGCAAATCAAATATGGCCACATTGGAGCCATCCTTCATATAGCTAAATGGGACTCCTCGAGGGATACACCTTCTCTGATGTCCCACAGTGCCCACCACTTCCTACTGCTCAGCCTTATCTAAACATGATCATCATTCCTCTGGCTTTCCTTGGCCTGAGGCATTTCCATGGATGTAGAATCACTGGTACAGAATAATGAAGCACAATCAGGGTTAGAAAAAGGACAAGAAAAATATCCAGAAAGCCTTCACAGTGTAATAAATAAGATAAGCCCAGCCATAAGTTAGTGAGAGTTTAATTCTTAGTTTCTAAAATGAAATTTCCCAATATGTCCAGTGTGAGAAGCTGTCATTGGTTGCAAAAAACTTACACTGGAATAGAAATGACCTTTTTTTTTTTTTTTCTTTGTCCAAGAGGGGGAAAAATGCCACTTGTCACAAAAAGGCCTTAAACCAGCAATCTGCAATAAAACTGTTGTAATAACAAGTTAGATTACTTTCCTTATAATTATTAAGTAGAGGTCTACCAGATTTGACAATGCTATTATACAAAGCCCCTTTTCTTTTATTGCCAACATCATCTGTTAACTATAGCATTTTCAATCCAGATGTTCCTGAACAAAGGCTCTTAAGAATTAGAGCCCAGCTGTCTCTAACTACCCAGAGAGAAATAAATTGTCCCTGCCATTAAATCAGTCCCCTTGACTGGAAGGATTACTTGCTGGTGTGAATTAAGCATGGAAACCTGTCATAGAGTTTGCACCTTGCAGTGTGCTTACAAAGCAGATACAAAGATAGGGCTTAGAGAGAAGGCCTCTGCCATTAGGAAAGTGGCAAACAATAGAAAAACATCTTCTTAACTGTCTAAACCCATCAAACCTTCTAAACCTAGTTCTCCCAAAAGCACCAGCTCTCCTCCTGTTACCCAGAGGCCCAGAAACTTCAGGACGACTGCCATAATCACAGCAGAAGTGGTCTAAACACTGTGGATGGACAGGGAAAGAAAAACTTTAGGACCAAGGGACTAGAGGAGGAACAATCACATTCAACTGCAATTGGAAAGGAGAGCTTTTGGAGATAAGAATGACCACTTAAAATATGTTTTTTAAACAATGAGGCTTGTAAAATTGAGCACCAAGAAAATGGAAAGGATTGGGACTGTTAGTAGAGATATTAGACTTCATGTCTGCGTAGCTTTGACAAGAAAGTTTCAGAATATGCCTACTTTCAAATACATGTCCAACCATGCATGCATAACACACACAGACACACGCACACATACATGTGCACATGGATTAACACATATAACACACATGTGTCTTTCCTCCCTAGCAGACCTAAGGCATTTAAACTTCAAAGTAATTTAATTCTTTG